ATAACCTCAGACGGGGGTTTTACTTTTGGCTGTCCCCTTTTTGGACCCTCGCTCCCTTTCAAAATGGTGGCCTTTTTCACACCTGCTGAGACGGAGACCAAAAAAAAGACTAAAAAAAACCACCTTGTAGTCTGAGTTTTTAGCCCTATCGGCCACTTTCGGGCACCCATTGTTTAGCCCCCATCCCCACACTGTCCCAGGGGGCCCCTTTTCCCCTTTTACGCTGCCAATCCACCTCTGCCATGTGCGTTTTGTTCTGTCACCGGGGTTTGGGTTCCAGTTTTAAACCTAGGCCTGTATATGGCTTCCAAATACTGCTGCCTCCACCCCCACCCTGCCCCTGTGCCTCTGTCGCTGCTCACGCTGCGACGGCTTCCGCTTTTTTAACCTGGGCCCCTGTGTTGGTTTCGATTATGCTGCCTCCACCGCCCCCCTGCGCCATGTCCCTCTTCGTTGCTCACGCTGCTGAGGGCTTCCGCTTTTTTAACTATCCTGGTATGTTTTTCCAAATATGCTGCCTCCACGCCACCCTGCGCCTTTTGGGCCACTTTAGGTTCCTTACACTGTTGGGGGGTTCCATTTGTGATAGGGTGCTGTGATGGCCTTCCATTTGCTGCTGCTCACGCCACCCTGCGCAAGTTGTGCCTCTTGGTGGTTTATGGGGGGTCTGCTCACGCTGCTGACGGCTTCCGGCTTTTTAACCGAGGCCGGTGTTTGGTTCCGAATATGCTTGCATCCACCGCATCCTGCGCACCATGTGTCTCTGTCGTCTGCTCACGCGGCTGACGGCTTCCGCTTTTTAATCCTAGGCCTGTGTATGGCTTTAGAAATATCCTGACTCACGCCACCCTGCGCCATGTGCCTTGTCGTTGCTCACGCTGCTGTCGGCTTCTGCTTTTTTTAAAACTAGTCTCTGTGGTATGTCTTCGAATACTGCTGCCTCCAACCCGCCACCCTGCGCCCATGTGCCACTTTCATGGTCTCCAAATAACCCCCCCCCACTGACTTGGAAGAGGGTTCTCCCATTTTGTGATAGGCGCGGTTGTGTATGACCTTCCAGTGATGCTGACTCCACCGCCTCACTGCAGCCATGTGCCTCTGTCGTCTGCTTCAGCTGATGTCGGCTTCCGCTTTTTAAACTAGTCCTGTGTAAGTCTTCCAAAAAAATGTGCCAACACGCCACCTGGCCTTGTACCACTTCAGGTCTCCTACAATGTTGTGGGTTCCATCTTGGTGATAGGGTGCTGTATGGCCTTCACATTGATGCTGGCCTGCACCGACTCCCTGCGCTAATGTTGCCTCGGTGTCTGTCCACGCTGCTGAGGCTTCGCTTTTTAACCGAGGACCTCGTGTATTAGTGCTTCCGAATACTGCTGCAAACACCAACACGCCACCCCTGCGCCGTGTGGTCTCTGTCGTCTGCTCACGCTGTCTGACGGCTTCCGCTTTTTAATCATAGGCCTGTGCACACGGCTTCCTAATACTATGCTGCCGAATCCAACCGCCAACCACTGCGCCCATGTGCCCTTCTGTCGATCTGCTCACATGGCTGCTCAGACGGGCTCCTGCTTACTTACAACTAGTCACATCGTATGTTCTTACCGGGGGAATACACTGCTGCGCGACATCCACCGCCACACAAAAAACTGCAGACCATGTGTGCCACTTTCAGGTCTCCTTTACACTGTTGTGGTGGGTTCCATTTTGTGTAGGGTGCTGTATTGGCTTCTTCCATATGCTGCTAGCCATTCCCTCCACCTGCCACCCTGCGCCATGTGCCTCTGTCGTCTGCTCACGCTGCCTCTGACGGCCTTCGGCTTGTTAACCGATGGCAGGCTGCGTTTGGCCACGACCGTACTTTCGCTGCATATCCCACCGCCACCTCTGGCCATGTGCCCTCTGTCGTCTGCTCACGCTGACCTGACGGCTTCCCTTTTTCCGCTTTTTTTTTTTAAACTATGAGGCCTGTGTATTGCTTCCGTAATACTTTGCTTGCCGACCACCGGCCACCCTGAGCCATGTGCCACTTTCAGGTCGTCCATACACGCTGTTGGTGGTGTTCCATTTTGTGATAGGTGTATTGCCTGTATGGCCTTCCATTGCTACGCTGCCTCCACCGCCACCTGCGCGCCATGTGCCTCTGTCGTCTGCTCACGCTGCTGACGGCTTCCGCTTTTTTAACGAGGCCTGTGTTTGGCTTCCGAAATACTGCTGCATCCACCGCCCACCCTGCGCCTCCATGTGTCTCTGTCGTCTGCTCACGCTGCTGACGGCTTCCGCTTTTAACCTAGGCCTGTGTAAGGCCTTTCAATTGAAGCTGCTTCTGCTCCGCCACTCTGCCATTGGACTCTGATAGTCGTCTCCCCACGCGTGCTGCTGGGGGGACTTTTTAACATAGGCCTCTGTAAATGGCCTTCAATTTTAGCTGCTACGCTCCGCGACGACTCTGCCATGGGCCCCTGTACCGCCTCCTCATGGCTGCTGCCAGGCCCGTAATCTGCCATGGGCCCCCGTACCGACTCCTCATGCTGCTGCCAGGCCCGTAATCTGTCATGGGCCCCTGTACCGCCTCCTCATGCTGCTGCCAGGTCCAGAGTGTGTCATGGAGTCCCTGTACGGCCCTCCCATTGCTGCTGTCTCCATCGCCACACTCTGCCATGTGCCACTTTCAGGTCTCCTCACACTGCTGGTGGGTTTCCATTTTGTCATAGGGTGCTGTATGGCCTCCCATTGCTGCTGCCAAATCCACCGCCACACTGTGGCTCCACACTCTGGTTTTGGCCCCGTGACTGCCCAAATGAGTGAAGGTGTGTGCGGTGATTCTAAGATCGACGGCGAATATATTCGGCTCGAAGCGAATTTTTTCCGCGAATTCGGCGAATCAGCCGAACCGAATTTTTGAATAATTCGCTCATCTCTAATCCTAACCAAGAGAGACACACAAAATATAGGAAAAATGGAAAAAAGGATGGGGAGAAGCCAAAAGAAGATCACCATCCCTCACTAGTTTAATCAGTATGTTGGAGGGCATATTAGACCACCAATGCTATGTACCAACCACTTACTTGATTAAGACTGGACTGCCTGCACTTGAGCGGATCCACTGGGAGTATAAGGAATTAAATATTAAATACGGCAGTTTATGTTGTTATCTGACATAATAATGTGCAAGCAATCAAAATCACTCCAATGTTAAAACTCCCATCTCCTAAAGACCCGCTTAATATCAATTCACCCCCTCTGGGGGCGGGAGCGCACACCAAGTAGGGAACAGCAAGAGGCAGTGATGTTCCAGCAGCTGGAGCTTACACCATGGGGCTTCCGTTATAGGGAGTGGGTTAATGATGAGGTGGCAGCCCATCAATGGATGCCACCAATTGGAAAGGAAGAAACTTTAGAAGGGAGAGACTGAAAGTGTCAGGGTCCTGTCCACGACAGAAGTTCTGGAAGATCTGGCATTTCTGCCAGTACTCTGCATGGCTGCAGAAGGACACATCAGCCTCAGTTTGGTGCCAGATGGCCTTTATAAAGAGGCTCATCACTTCCTCAAGTTGCTGGATGATCTCTAGCTCCCCGTGCCTTGTTCCTGTTTCCTGTGATTGTAACCTGTAAGTTCCTGATACTGACTCGGCTTGCTCCTGGACCTGTCTGCTCTGCTTTATCCCTGATCTGACCTTGGCTTGGCTTACAGATACTCTCTCTCGCTCTTCTGTGTATGACCTTGGCTATCCCATCTGACTACATCTGCTCTGATTCCCACCTGGTACCTGACCTTGGCTTGAACCAACTACCCAGTAAACATCTAAATTCCGGAAGGGCTTGCAAACCATGCACAGGCACCTCCTGTCTGCTGACCTATCTCCCGTGCATCAGCTGTGCTTCTGAGTGGACCACCAACCAGCACTCCTACAGTCGACCTGTGCAACTTTGGGCCTGACTCCCGCTGTCCCACTCTCAAGGGAGTCCAGAACTTAGCCGCAAGGGAAGCCCTCTCTCCATTGGCCTCCATCACCAGGTATGTGATACGTCCTGTTGGTCTGACTGGTGCTTGCTTGTGCTCCAATAAAACAAATGGCTGTCAGCTCCTGATAGTTGAAGATAATTCAGTTGAAAGTGTGAAGAGATATTGATCCTTTTCATTGATGAGAGGAAGGGAAAGCTGGAACAACATTATTTTAATATAAAGATGAAATAACAAACATAGATCAATGTACAACTAAATGCACATCAGGTACTCAGCGCTCCAAACATAGTAAATAATGAAAGTCCATAAAGTGGATGCTCTGATTGGGGTGGAAATGGATGAAAGATGTTCATGTGGCTCCTTGTGTCCGAACCTAGGATGGGTCCACTTGAGGCCCATGAAAAGGAACAAAGCAGCAGGGAATAGTAAAACCATGCCACATCACTTTATTAAAAACATAGCACTCTTACACTCTCCAGTCACTTTATTAGATACACCTTGCTATTCAGTGTAGTCTTCTGCTGCTGTAACTCATCTGCTTCAAGATTCAATGTGTTATGCGTTCAGAGATGGTTTTCTGCCTACCTTGGTTGTAACGAGTTGCCTTTCTATCTTCTCGAACCAGTCTGCCCATTCTCCTCTGACCTCTGACATCAACAAGGCATTTTCGTCCACACACAATCCCAGTAGATCAGCAGTTTTTTTAAATGCTTAGACCAGCCCATTTGGCACCAACAACCATGCCACATTCAAAGACAATTAAATCCCCTTTCTTCCCCATTCTGATGGTAGGTTTAAACTTCAGAAAGTCTTCTCCACCACGTCTAGATGCATTGAGTTGCTGCCATGAGGTTGGCTGATTAGCATTTTGAACAGGTGGACCTAATAAAGTGTCAGGTGAGTGTATATCTAAGATGCTCATGTCCAGCTTAGAATGCCACAGTTGGTTGGTAATATATTGGTAATATGGTAATAATATGGTAATATATATAAAACATCCAGACTAGCTGATGAAGCCTGACAAAGGAGACCATGCCCCTGAAGCGTGTTGTGCTGCCCGCCCACTCCGGTGACGTTGCTCTTTACACTCTCTGAGAGCTGCATGAGGCATGGCTGTAGACGCTGTTGGCTGTCATTCACTTTGGCAGGTTTAACTTCACTGCTTAGAGGATCTGTAATCAGCTAGTCTGGATGTTTTCCGACAATATATCACCATCCACCTGCAACACTCTAGCCTGGACATGAGCATCTTAGATGTAAGTGTGCTATGTTTTTATTCAAGTGATGTGACATTGGTTTTACTACTTCCTATTACTTTGTTTCTTTTCATGTATATGCAGATGTAGATAAAAAAAAAAACTGAATTTGTGTTTGCGGATAGTATCACAACTTCATAGTGCATAGTATAAATCTCTCTCACATTGATGCAGGCAGGGCTTTTCTTTTTTTTTTATAAGGAATGTGGGGAAACACAGTTCTGGCACCTCCAGCACTGAATGTATGTAATGGTAAGGGGTGCCGGGGTGTGCTGGATGGTGTATTAATTCTGGCTTCTGGGTGATCTATAGCTGCTTAGGGGATCTTTTGTTGCTGGTCAGGTCTGTTGTTGCTGGGTAGGGGAACTATTGTTGCTGGGGGGTCTTATGTTGCTGGGAGGGATCTACTGTTGAGGAAGGGGTCTATTGTTGCTGGCTGCTGGAGGGTCTGTTGATGCTGGCTGTTGGGAGATTCATTGTTGCTGGCAGAGGTCTTTTGTTGCTGGAGTGAATCTATTGTTGCTGGGAGGGTCTGTTTTTGCTGGGGGGATATATTGTTGCTGAGAGATTGATTATTGCTGGGGGTCTATTGTTTGCTGGGAGATCTATTGTTGCTGGGGGGGAATTGTTGCTAGCTTCAGGGGATCTATTTTACTGCATTCCTTGTTATCATTAACAAATTTCATACACATTAGGTAGCACCACAACATGATACTTGTGTAACACTACCCTCATAAGGGCTGCTGAGTTTTATTTGGATCCCCTTATGCTCTGCACGGCCAGGCAACATGCATTTTCCACACTTGTACTCTCAGAATCAGTAAACAGTCCTTGAACTGGTTTTTAGTTATGTTTATTAAATGTTTACAATTTGGATGGGGTCTGGGGGTATACGGGATGCCCAAGGAACAGTAGAACTTGAGGAAAAACTCCTTAGCAACTATGTACAAAAAGGGTGGACTGGCAAAAATAAAGCACTGTCCCATTTTTGGTGTACCTTCTCAAACCCTGGATGAATCGTCCTCTTCACCCAACTGTGCTGAGGGTATCCCTTAGCAAAGGGGTCCCAAGAGCTTGCCGTTAAGCAGTCCCAGGTGAAGACTAGCTGGGTGTTGTACCTGACCACCCTCTCCTGTTATCTGCCCAAGTGGGTGTAAGAATACTCACACTGTCCTGTCCTGTCAGCATGGTGGGTTGCTAGCTGCTTTCATGCCTTTCGCTGGGCTAGCTCCTTCTCTGCTGCTCAGGATGTCCTTCCCAGGAAACTTTAGGCAGCAGAGTTTCTCCCATCCAGCAACCAGCTTGTAGATAGGCTCCCTTCCCTGGGGCCCCCTCCCAGGCTCCACACTCTAGCCTTCTCTCAATCCATTTTCCACCTGACTCCCCTCTTTCCCCAGGCTCTATCATATTTGAGGTTACCTTGGTCACCATGCCCAGCCTCCTGCCAGGGGATTGGCAAAGGTCCCTCAAACATGCAGATCTGGGCCTCCTCCCCTCCCTCACCCATGTTCAAGAAAGTTCTCAATTTTCTAAAAAGGTGGGAAGGCTCCAAAAGCCCTGACTTGTAGAACCACCCAGCCTGTCCTGAAGTGAACTCCTACCTCACTCCCAGTCTGACTCATTTCAGGTTGTTACTCAGCCTCTATCTAAAAAAAGAAAACCACAAATCTCCCTCAAATCTCCCCAACTTAGGGGGCGTTACATCTGGTTCTATATTTTCTAAAAGGGGAGGTGATGGGAAGTGGTAGGGGATGGAAATAAGGGATGTTCTCAGAGGTGGGTAGGGGGCAGAGACAAGGGGGTGATATGGAAGGGGCACTACTTGCACCTATTCTCTGAGGAAAAAAAGCCCCAGATGCAGGTGACGTGAGCAACTCAAGGTGAGCATATGGAAATTACCCATAGAGCCAACTTTTCAACACTTTTGCGTACTTCATTTTTTATATGAGAAAGTCTAAAGTGCCAGTTTTTATGTTTTTATTAATTAATTAATATATTTAAAAACACTCATTGAATAGCGGTTGAACCAGCACTACTAAACAGGCTTCACATTGCTATTTGTTGATCTAAACATTGCATACTAACAGGGAGGGTATTAGGATACAGAGATAGAGCAATGGTAGTGGACACACGATGTGCTTGACCTGGAAAAGCAGCAGCAGTCTGTATAAGATTGGCAGTTGTGTTCAGCAGCTGCGGTTGTGTAATAAAGCTATCAGAGCGTTTGCTGAGTGGCATGACAATGATTTCAAGGAGCGATTTGATGTATAGCGTGTGTTATCAGACTTGGGACGTGTACATTCCCAGTGATGGTCAGCAGCTGAGTGTGAAGCTTTGCTTATCTCTCCTCACTCTTTATATGAACAGAATTTGCCAGCTTGTAGTATTTAAATAGCTAAGGACACACTTATAGGTTATCACAGCCACCCAGGCCTACTCACTCAATCCTGCTCAGCTAGGGTGCAGGAGAGATTTCCCCTTGAAAAAAATCGATAGATGGTTTAAAATTTCACATCACGCCATAGGCTAGCTTATACAGCTGCTTCAAAATATAGTTTGTAACAATGTGAAGTAACAGCGATGCTCTTGTGTTTTATTTGTTAGTTATTTCCTTTC